GCAGGAAGTCATGTCATCTCGTGTAACAGTTCATAAGGAAATTAGTGACTTTACAAACCTAAATTACAGCATGTGGTTTAGATCAACCAGCTGTTTAATTCTCACTATTCTGACACTAAAGAACAGTCATGGACTGTGAATGCTGTGAATTACATGAATTTTAGCCCCAAATCACTGCCACTCCCAAACTAAATGAATTATTGTATATACCACTGAAGAATCACAGACATTAGTTACATTTAAAACTGTATATAAATATAACCCGTCTGAGTCTTCACTTGTTTGTTCATAAAACTGCTTCAAATGCTCAAACAAACTGGCTTCAGCAGTAGCAGATGCATCTGTACCTCTAGCACCAGCCAAGCTGAGCCGTGTCTATGGAGACGACATGCGGCGTGCTGTAAAACTGTCGTGAAAACGCCGCTCTCGTTCATCATTTGTAAACTGATTCTTTCAGTTCAGTGTTCACAAAAAAATATGCACATCACTGATTAGTTGGATCACAGCAGCAGGATGTCAGTTATTTCTGGTTCCACAACAGTTTTAAACTATGTCCTAAATTCCTTATACTGACCATACGCAGTCCACACGCATACTGTACTTGTTTTGACTCAATCCCACATACACCATTCGCCTGCTGGAATAATCACTAGAAATGTGTATTAATCCGCAGCTGAAAATAGTTCCCAATTACATAGTGTTTGAAGATCATAGGATCTTTTCCTCGTGCTCTCAGAGTCCCTTAAATGTTGTTTGGTGAACTCTAAGCAGACTGTGTGTCTTACTCAAAGTGTCTCCTGTCCGGTCTCTATCGTAAAGGCTGGACTGATGGAGAGCTGCTGAGATGGTCGTTCTTCCAGCAGCCTCTCCATCTCTGCAGAGGAACGTTGAAGCTCTGTTAGAGACTGTTGGGTTCTTGGTCACGTTCCCTAAACCAAGACCCTTCTTCCAACTCTAGGAAGTTCAGAGTCATTGAGGCCTCTGTGCTCCTGGGAACACCCAAAGCTTTAGAAATGGTTTTAATCTCTGAGTGTTCCCAGGGAATTCCTTGGTTTTTGTGAATTGCAGGACCAGGTGTGAGAATTTGTAAACTATGTTCAATCAGTTCAATTTGCCACAGGTGGACCTGAGTCCAGTTGGAGACACATCTCAAGAATAATAAAAGCAAAGAGGATTCATTTGACCACAGTTTGGAGCCACAGCAAAGGGTCTGAATACTTTTGTAAATGAGAGATTTCATTTTTTAAGTTTTGATAAATTGTCACTATGGATTATTGAATGTAGCTTGACGGACAAAATGGCGGTTCTATCAATTTAAAATTGAATCTACAACAGAACAGAGTGTGAAAAAAGTGACATGGTCTAAATACTTTCTGAAGCCACTGCATTTCCCAAGTGAAACAAGCTTATTCCCCCTGTGAAGCATGACTAACTGAACTTTGTGCTTAAAAGAAAAATCTCAATCAGGTTATCCTTGATCGCTTTTAACCCTTGTGTTGTCTTCACATTCTGTATTCTCCCCTTGTCCTCCTGGTCAAAAATGACCTGCCTTCACTAAACCCCTAAAATATAGAAGCTTAATTGAATTTTTAACACCAAATGTAGTTTGCATGAAGAAACAACCTGCCATTCATCACAATATCTGAGTTTTCCCTCTTCACAGTGCAGAAAGACTGCATTTATTCAGTGGACCCCACTCATTTTTATTACAACACTGCTGTCATAATTGTCTTCTTTACTAAAGTAGAGGTTTATTGTTAATATTATCATTTCTTAAGGTACTGCAGAGGTGGTAAACAATATTTTTTATCAAGAGATGATACTTGTATAGCCTAAGAAAGTAGCAGAAATGTAGTTTTGAATGCATTTCATTGGAGGCGTTCCCAATAACAGTCAGGGTTTTTTGCCAGTGAACAGTTATATATTCTTTTCTGTACAATTAGGAATTAAAGTACACAATATATATGTCCCCATTTTTTAACCATTGCTACCACCCAATAAGTGTGTAAACACAACAAACAATAATTATCCATAAAATATACAAATAAAATGTGAACAACATAAATTAATCAACTAATTAGCACATGTAGGGCAGTACACAACTGTGTGTGCATGGACTTTGCACATATATTTTTTCACATGTGCAGCACACAGTATGTGTTTTACAGTCCTTCATTGGTGGGCAGACCTGACAATTCTTACTTGCCCCAGCAAGTAAGGCTGGGGCAGCTGGATCCTCAGGTAGATCAGGAAAAGATCCAGCCCCCTGAACAGCTTGGGTGGTTCAGGTTATGGTTAGTATTAGGCTGTTCAGCAGTAAAACGTGCACTCATGGCTTCAGCACAGAGAGAACTCGGGGTACTGTCATCTGCAGCACCTTTCCAGCCTCTGAATGTCGAGGTATTAGTGAACAATTCTTTCAAGGAATCTTTATTTTTTGTCTGAAATTGTTTGAACTTGAGTCATGTCTGGGGTCGTGGAAAGATGATGCTGCACTTGCACGAGAAAGTTGTACTTCTGTCTAAGATCAATCAGTAGGACACAAACTCAATTGCTTGTGTGTGTGTGTGAGTGTGTCTGTTGTTTTCTAAATAAATTGACAGTGATTAACTCAGTGACCAAGTCTGTCATCATTTTGGCTAAAACATCTCCAAAGAACTTAGTGGTACTCCATTGACACTTTAAGCCTTGACTGACATGTGATTATTGGTGAAATATATAGATTGTTTCTCCTCAGATGATCTTTGGCATCCTTTCAAATACAGATTAGAGAAATTTGAAACCTGCTCTCTGGGCTCTTTGAATCCCTCTCTAACAGTCCCATCTTCCCCGCTCATGTTTTTGCCTCTCCTCCGACACTCACCCCAAACCACCCAGGAGCAAAGCAAACAAGCTCTGCAAATTCTCTCAGTTACGCATCCACTGCTTCTCCAATTCAGCTTATTTTTTCCCACCAGAGCAGCGCTGGAACTCTTTTCCTCTTCACCTCCATGAAACATTTTCTATTATTCATCAAAAGGGGCTTTAAGCAGTTCTCCCTTCCCGTTACACAAGCGAAAAACAAGACATCTCTGGCTCTTTAATGCCAATTCCTCTCATCTCCAGGAACAGGATTCGTGGATCATTAAAATAAAAGAAAAACCTCAAGTTACAGAATAAAATCTATTCTTTGGCTTTGAGCAGAGGTGTAAGAGGTGTGTGTGTGTGTGTGTGTGTGGGTAGGGGGGGGGGGGGGGGGGGTGTTTCCTGGATAGATGAACCAAGACCTTCCTTCAGTGTCTGGCAATAAAATCACATAATTTCTGTCTTTGCTTTATTCTGAGCAGATTTATGTTTATGTGGTGGCGCTCACACTCAATCTGACAATACAGGCTCACAGATGAATGTGCAGTTACTCAGCACAAAAGTCCTTTTCATCTGTGTGGGTATGAAGGCATTCATCTGACAACTGTTATCAGTTCAAAGCAGCTAAAAGTCTTCTTGATCTACAATCGAAGCTGCACGCAGCCCGTCTCCATGTGAACAAATTATTTCTTTCTTCTAAATTTAGACTCAGAGAAACTGTAAGCTGCAGGTAATAAAAAAAATAAACTAAATGACAAAAAAGTCTTTCTGAAGTTGGAGCACTTTCATTTTTATTTTGAGTGGTGTGACCTTTTTAAAGTTGAATCACTAAGCTATTGAGCTATGTGTTTTTAAATAAAGCAATGCCAGTTTATTCTGAGCACAGCACTCTGGGGAGAGTTCTCACAATGGCCTCATTTTGCCAGAGTAGGATGGCAATCTTTTTGTGTTGGACTGTGTCATTGTAATGTTGTGTTTTTTCTGTCTTCTGGTTGGTTATCTGATGCTCCTGTCACTACATTTACAAGCTCAGATGAAAGCATCATTTTAGTCCCTGATAGTGCATGAAAACAATATTTAAAAATGGACACAGGTCAAGTAGGGACAAGGATTGAAATCAGTGTCAAATTCTGCTCTGCTTGCTGTCAAAAGCTTCTTTTAAACAGAGATCCCGCCGTTAAGAAGACCCCTCGTTGTCATTTTGTTTACACTGAACCAAACAGAGTCTGCATATATCAACACAAACCCACTGTGTGATTTTAGATAACATGCTGACGTTCTGGAATCAGAGGCCTGATGTGTAACATGCTTGCTGTGTCTGTCCTGCCATAACGGCTCTCCCTTTTCAGGGGTGGACATTAACTAAGTAAATTTACATGAGTACTGTACATAAGTATATTTTCAGTATCTGTACTGTACTTGAGTATATTTTTTTTAGGAATGCACGACTTTGATTCAACCACATTTCTATGAAGTAGCTTTCAGTCAGAGCATTGAATGTTCTTTTATTCTATATAGTGATAGACCATGTTCACCACAGGAGAAAAACCAGTCACAGCCACCTCCACCACTGTCAGTCATGTTTGAACCTGTCTGTGTCCTGACCTGATGTGAAGTCCACGTTTGAAAGTTTAGGAATAAACCCCTCCTCCCCCCCCCCCCACACCCCCCCCCACCCCTTCGCAGAAACATTATTTATTTGCACAAATAGATGTTATTTAAAAAATGTTATGTTTATCCTTCATAACTCTGTCCTGGCTCAGTAGGATTGACAGTTAAAATGGATTTTAACCTGACCATGGCTGTATAACCTGGCGAACAAGTAAGAAACACACAATCTGTAAAGGTATGGATAGTCCACAGGACAGACTTGTGATTTTGGAATGTAGGCTATATAAAAATGTCTGCAGTAGGCACACGCCAATTCAAGTTTTTCAAGTTACCATTAACTACAAACATTTTATAACGGTTTGCTCCAAATCCTGTGGAAACAGCCACATATTTCCCAAAATATTGTTTACTGACTATTTCCCAAAATAATTTCTCTTGAGAAAGTTAACGACATGTTTGGGAACTGTATCCGAAGACCGCCGGAAAATACCGAGAGCCGCAATGCCTGCTGGGAAACTACAAACTCGACAAACCGCCATCTTTCTTTATAGCAAGTTATCAGAGCAAAACAGTTACCATATTCGAATGATTATTTCTCCAAAACAGAGGCGCTGAAGCAGTTCCATTTGGTCAGTTACTGTAAATAACAAGTTTTAAGAGGAGCTGGTGGGACGGAATTTCAGATATTATTAATATCCCAGCTATAAGACAGTTTGGTGTTAGCGCTCGACTAGTGGAGGTGGTTAACATGGGCCGCTCTCGGAGCCGCAGCTCGTCTCGGTCCAAACACTCCAAAAGCAGTAAGCACAGCAAGAAACGGAGCCGGTCTCGGTCGCGGTCCAGAGACAGGGAGAGGTCAAAGAAACGGTCCAAGTCCCGAGAATCGAAAAGGAGCCGGCGCAGAGAATCTCGTTCACGTTCTCGATCCACTACAACTTCGTCCCGTAGAGACAGAGCAGCTTCGCCGCCGGAGCGCATCGACATCTTCGGCAGGACGCTGAGCAAAAGAAATGCCCTGGACGAGAAGCAGAGGAAGGAGGAGGAGGAAAGAAAGGCAGAGATGGAAAGACAAAGGAAGATGTGAGTATATTTTAACTAAAGACTTAGTGCATAAAACGTTACATAACATTACCCGCATTGAACTTCAATATGAGCTAAGCTAAATGCTAGGGTGGCTGCATTCAGTTGTATAGATTACATTAGCTCTTTGCGCTAGCAAGCTAATGCTAACAAGCTACCCGCCGAAGCATGCTAACGTCAGCTAGACTCTGCAGGGCCCTAGCTACACAGGGGAGACTATTATCCCTGTCAGAACCGACAGTTTCCCACGGGGGCCAACTCACCTCTTCACTTTGATTGTACCTCAAGTTTTAGTTTTACTAAAAGTTTTTAATATGCTTATATCTGGTTATATTTACTAATATTTGGATCTTAATAGAAAAGACTCAACGATATTAAACTAATTCAAGTAATGATTTGTAACCTTACCAGGCAACACAACTTTGTTCAGGTTGTAATAATAATAATACATTTTATTTAAAGGCGCCTTTCTTGGCACTCAAGGACACCTTACAGAGTTACACAAATTGACATTAAAAACACAATAAGAAGAAGCAACAATAAAAATGAAATGTAAAAATAAAGACAATACAGGTTGTAATGTATTTGTTGTTTGAATACCTTCAAATGTAAAATAAAACAAGGAGTAAACCTAGTATATAGCTAGACTGTGTTTGGGTGTATGCAGGGTGTGATTTCTAATAAATTCATGTTACTTATAAATTTAGTGAAGAATTTCTCTCCTGGTCTGACCATGTGCCTGGTGCTTTCCTTATGTGCACATATGGGGGATGCGATCATACACAATAATAGTAGATTTTAAATGCCAATTTAACATGTCAGAATTAAGCCCCCCCTTAAACTTCCTTTCAGTACCATGGATAGTGCCACTTGGCCTAAACACTTATTGATAAACTTCAATAATTAATAGCAAATGTTCTCAAAATGCAATATAACAACATGCTGTCGACAAAAATAAATAGGCTATTGTCACAGGAGTGTAAACGCTGACAGAGAAAGCCTTTTTCCGTTTCTGTTGTTGTTTGCACTATAGACTGTTCCATGGTTGGACTGGCCATTTGGAAATCTGAAATGCCTGCTAGTGCAAATGAGACATTAAAGGGTTTCTGTCCACTGAAACCCTAGAGGTCCTTTAATTTGAAATGGCCACGGGTTAATACAAAATATAGATTTTTGTACGAAAAATACAAAATATTGATTTTGTATTAACACATAATGCAGTTTAATCCATAACCAAGTATACATATCAAACAGAGGGAATTAAAAAAAAAAAGGCCTGTTACCTTCTACAGGTGAGGTAATTAAAGGCCCATGTCCCCCCTTGAGGACATATACTAGAAAAAAACTGTTGTTGTTCTGCTCTAAACCACCTCAATGATTTTAATAGAAACTGTTTGCACCAAATCAGTTTGAAAGACCAATAGTCAATGGAAAAAATCCAACACTTTGCCAACTGACCAAAGGTGTGACCTCACTCCCTCAGTGGTTAGAAAATAATTTATAGTTTTGATAGTTTTATAAGTCATTTATCAAGCAACAGTGAGAGAAAACAATTTATACCATAAATATAACTTTTATCGTGTTTTGGGCGCTTGTTTGATTTAGATAAGGCAGTAGAGGCTTTTCTGAGGGATTGAGTAGATATCAAATATTAAAGACAAACTGAAAAAACATGACAAATGCACAAGTCTCTGTGGAATAGTAGTCGTTAGCAGACTTACATGGAGGAAAAAAAAATATATAAGAAATATGGGTGTAATGATTCTAAAACTGGGACTGAAACCGCAATACAAATATACATGATTACATGTACGTACATGACATGGTTATCAGGCGGTGCTAATAAAACTCAACACTGTCACCAATCTACATCTTAAAATACTTGAGTGGTTGCAACACATAATGACCACTGCCCTTTTGTTGTTGGACAGGGAAGCTGCAATTGTGTACGTGTGTGTGTGGTAGCCAGAGGCACACAGACACCTGAGATCTGAGGCACTGTCTCCACACCTGGCCTCCTGAGTGGCTCTTTGTTTTTTTTCCTTTCCTGTGTAATGGCCACAGGGCCACTTAAACAGGCACACAAATGTACATATCAAGATCCAGAGACTTGCTAGAGAAGGAAGGACTTGGTCCTGGGTTGAGTAAGGATGCTGGTTTCCTACTGGCTGACAGGATGAAATCAAATCCAGGGAATGTAGTTTGTGTGTTTACAGTTGTCAGAGGCAATTTGAGAACACACCTCCTAACTCCTAATAGCTTCCTGTTCATAGTACAGTTTTGGGGAAAACAAGAACAATTCAAAAGCATTTTGGGTAGGTACACAGGATGACAGGTGACCTACATTAACCTTCCAGTCTGCTGCTGAACTGGACAGGTTCATTCACTCACACATGGGTGGTAGGCTGGCATAGGAACTGAAATTTCCTCGCGTTTGGAATACTTCGACTGTGCTGTATGCACCCAGCCTTGGATTTAGACACAACATAGGTGATTTTACATACGTCATCTGTGAATGTCATGGTAAACATGGAGGTTAAAGATTTGCCCAGTCTGCTGAAAGCCCCTGTCCCCTACAGCTCTTCAAATTACCAGTTCATTGGGGCTGCATTTACTTTTACCACATCTCCTCTTTCAACATCTGTCATTGATCCTCTGGCAAATTAGCTCTGAAAAATGTCCCGTTGCCACACTTATAGTAAAAGTATACAGTATGTGCTTTATATATTATAGTTGTGATGTAATACATGCAGTGATGAATTCTAATTTAACATGAACTTTTCTAAAGGTTGAGTACTCATTGTTTTTTTGCCCTATAGCTCATTACCGTTGACAATTTCTTTTAATATTTATCATATGTTAGCATCTGCTCCATTTCATTTGTGCAGTACATTGGGAGAACAGTGTACATCAACAACACAATCAAAAATCAAACACATTTAGTCTGTATACACAATTATGTAGCATATGATGCCAGACAGAGCTAATCTAAATACAGATTTTACATTGGACAGGAGCTAGCTAAGGTTGATGTTCAGTTTTTCTCCTGCTCTGTGTTCTAGCCGGCAGCAGGAGATCGAGGAGAAGTTAATTGAGGAGGAGACGGCGCGGCGAGTGGAGGAGCTGGTGGCCAAGCGGGTCGAGGAGGAGCTCGAGAAGAGGAAGGACGAGATCGAGAGGGAGGTGCTGCGACGCGTCGAGGAGGCAAAGCGCATCATGGAGCGACAGCTTCTAGAGGAGCTAGAGAGGCAGCGGCAGGCTGAGCTGGCGGCGCAGAAGGCCAGAGAGGTAACGCTCGGTCGTTTGGAACGCAGCCCCTCCCTTCCCTCCATACCCCTGCACCCTCTCACCTCCCTGTCCCCATCTCCCTCCCAGTCACCTGCTCTGACTGGTGCCTACCTACAGGACATGCAGGGTTGGTGGAGGTGGAGGGACCCCCCACCCCTCCCTGTTTACTTTTCTGAATGTAACCCAGCCATGGTACAAGTTTCACTGCAGGGAGGGTAGATGCAGAGCCTGGAAGTTCATCCTACAGGGAAATAATGTATTTATTGGTCAATAAAGTATTACCAATAATTCATCCACACACAACGAACTAAATATAATATATTGAGCAAGTGGAACCATGTTAGTTTGAGAATCTCTTTACTAATAAGTACTGCCTGGAGCTGTAGCTGTAAAAATTGATCCTGGCGTCAGTGTTCTTTAATATGAAGTTTGTGTGTGTGTGTGTGTGGGTGTGTGTGTGTGTGGGTGTGTGTGTGTGTGTGTGTGTGTTAATAAATACATGGTCATTTCTCACAATTTCAAATACGAGAGATGAGAAACTTTATAGGACCACTTGTTACTCACTGCGGAGCAAGGCTACCAATTATTCAAAAATAATCCAACTTTATACAGAGTGTGCACACAGTAGAATCTGCTCCTCAGCTGGTGTTTCCATAGTATATTTATATTTAATTTCCTCGCAGCCTCTGCAAGGCTTCAACCGAGAAGCTAGAAGTACGGGACTTCTGGTTTTTAACTGCTTCATACTTGAAGCAGGTATGTGAATGTGGCCACTGTTAATTGTAGTGTCTCTAGGGGATTTCCTAATGTGCCGGTGAGAATTTGCCATGGCAGGGTTACAAAAACTGACTGACTCTCATTCTTTTTCATCTTTTTTTCTCTGATTCGGTTTGATCTTTTACTTTGATATTTGTATGTGTCTCTATTAATGTCTGTAAATAAGAGCTTTCTTTTTTTTAAGATGACGCTTGTATTTTCCAGTCACTGTCCATCACTGGTCATTTTTAAACATTTCCTGAATTCCTATAAATTGACAACTAGCTTAGATGAAGTTGTTTTTTTTAATGCACAAAACAGCCATGTTTTTATGTGTCAGTTCAGCCAACCTACGTTCTAGTAAGAAGGCCAATCCCTTACCGGCCTGTATAATACAGTTGTCAGAGGAACCGTCCCAGGATTCCTTGAAGCTAATAAAAGCCCCTTTGCTTCTTTTTCTTCCCCGTTTTTGGACAATAATGGTAGACATCTGTATGACAGACCCTGTCTCCCACCTCACCAGGCGTCATTAAGAAGAGGGGGTTTGTTTACACAACAGTAATAATGTATTATAGATGAGAGGGACAGCTAAAGCTCAGTGACCCTGACTTGCACAGGGTGCAGCCAGTGGCTTGGTACTAATAGGGTGAGAAATGTAGTCTGAGCGTGCCACCTTTACCTACTTGGACTTATTCGCTCACTTCTCTCCTGCCTTTGGCTCTGTTGCTACCTCACTGCTCTTTGTAAATCTCCCACTCTCAGTCCTAGACACTGTTTATCGATGCAGCTCGTAGCTTTAGCAAAGCTATTCTATAACCAAAAGGTCAAATTCAGCCTTTAAGTATTTAGTTGATTAACGGTCAACTACATGCCAAAAATGTAATCAACACAACACCAGTTTAGTCTTTAATGGGAGTTTTTTGAAATATGATTGGAAATTTCCTGTCTCTGTTACTCTCACGTTTCAGTCCAATTTTCTGTGTAGAACTGTTAATCACATTTGTTTAATTCACAGACAGTTTGCCCTGTCCAGCTTCTTTGCCACTCCCTTACTTTCTCTTTAACACTCCTTATTTTGAGAGTCTTCTGTTACATGGCATCTGCTTTGGGATACATAATGATGGACCACTACATTTCCTGTTTCCTGTTTGACAACATTAAGTATCTGTGGTCTAACTTTTATCTGTTAATATATATTCTTTCTAATTTTCATTATTTCATTCAGATAAAGAGCCTTTTCTCCCTAGAAAAACTAATGTACTGTGTTTTTTTTTACTCATGACTTGCTTCTCCTATAGGGCTGCTGCCAAGTTTGATATTGTTATTTGTAAATACATTTGTGTTGTTTTATTTTGGAAACACAACTCACCACCTTCCTAACTAGCACTTGACCTGAGCTGGCCTGCAGCCTTTCAGCTCACCTGTGACTTGTGTCCTGTACTGTAAGTGTACCGTGGTCCGGTCCTCCTCGAACACACACAGACACCTATTTGTACTGTCGTCACCTTCACTCTGGCATCGTCTCAGTGGGGACTGAACCTCTGTAAAGAAAAGGAAAATAAAAAAAAAAGCTGCAGGCACAGGCTAAGCAGTACAGAGATCAGAGTAATAAAGAGGAATACCACGGGCGCGGTATGGCAGAATCCCCCATACCTACTTACCCTCCCTCCCACCCCAGGAGCGCTTCTCTGTCTCTGCAGGGGCCACACAGTCCGGACGAGACAGTAAATATTCAACCGTTAAATGCCGAATGGTTTCACCAGTTGTGTAGGTACACAGGCAAGGAAAATGCGTAGGTATACGTGCATTGGTGAGCCAAAACTATTCCCTCCTTTATTTGTATCCTTTTTTCTTGCTTATAATGATGTTAAAAACAGCAACTGTATTTTCTTCTAGATTGTATTGTCTCTCAGTTTATATCTGTCTTCTGTTTATGAGTGTGATGAGTGGGTTTCCCCCCTTTGAATTCTTGTGTAAATTTTAATGTCTTTCACAGAAATGCAGAGAGTGCCCTAGGTGTGGCTTAGCTTTTAATTTTTCCAGGAGGGTATTAACAGCAGTAGAGGTAGGGGGAAAATATAGCGGGTCCATTTTTCACCCACAGTTTCTTTATGCTTTTTGCCTCCACTATGTATTTTTAAAACAAGTCAGGCTGCAAAGAATGCCACAGTGTGGTCATGTGCGAGAGGCTAAACAAAGTTCTCTGTGGTGTGATGAGTTAGGTGTGTGTGTGTGTGTGTGTGTGTGTGTATGTATGTGTGTGCTGGTGGTGAGTGTGTCTGACAATTAGAGGGCAAGCGTGTGTACGTATGTACATAAAGTGCTTTGTGGCTGTAGCCTCTTCGTGCACTAACATGGCACTGTGTCACCCGTTTAGGAGGAAGAAAAATCTAAGCGGGAGGAGCTGGAAAAAATCCTGGAGGAGAATAACCGCAAGATCGCCGAGGCTCAGGCCAAGCTGGTACGCCCTGCTCTGTGAACAGCAGCTTTCTGGACATTTCTCCCATTTGTCAAACTCATAACCCTCAGTGTAATTGTTTTTGCATGCTGCGTTGATCACAGACCAAATGAGTAGCACTATTCATCCTTTCTGAACACAAATACGTCAGTGGTTTATACAGCATTATAACAACGATACGGTCGCTTCCTCACTTGATTTACTTTTCATTTTTATATCATATTTATATACAACATTTTTTTTGGGTGTAATTAATTTTGCTGATCACATCCAGTGATTAATAACGTCACTCATTAAGTGCAGTAAGAAAACTATACATAAAAAAAGAAAAGCAGACTCTAACGCTGGATCTTAAGGGGGGGTAAAGAAAATGCTGGCGGCTTGTGGGCTCTTGGTTTGAAGGACATTGTTCTCTGTCCTTGTCTGACCTTACTGTTTATGCCTTGCATTTGCTTCTCTGTTTTCTGACAGGCTGAAGAGCAGTTGCGAATTGTGGAGGAGCAGAGAAAGATTCATGAGGAACGCATGAAGCTGGAGCAGGACCGTCAGAAGCAGCAGAAGGAGGAGCAGAAAATAATCCTTGGCAAGGGCAAGTCCAGGCCCAAGCTCTCCTTCTCCCTCAAGGCTACTGAATGACACTGCTCCCCCTTCGTCCACATGTCATGCCCTGCCTTCATCCCCATCCAGCTCTCCCTCCTCATCATCCGACCCCCATCCTCCTCCTCTGTGGAACGCTCGCTTCGTTTTGGAAGTGCTGAAGGAAGGCCGAGGAAAGGGGTGCAAACCAAACTTGCTCGTCCTCATGAAGGCCCCTGTCCCTCTCTGGGCTTGAAGAGGAGGCAGCTCTTCGCCCTCAAAGGACCTGACTGCTCCCTCCATCCTTCCCATCCCGACCGCACAGATGACTTGTTTGCTTTTTTTTTCAGTTTTATTTTCATTTTTAGGGAACTCGAACTTTTGATGTAGAATGCTATAACATGTCCCTTGCCCTGTAAGTCTTAACTCTGGTGTAACAGCGAGCAACTGCGCACCTGTGCTCTTCTTACATGTCTCTGCAGCCAGCAAACTACAATAGAATGCCAGTCCCTGATATAGAAGAGTATTGTCTAGTTTGTCTAGTTCAGCTTACTGTAAAAGCTCATGTGCAGCCTGGGAGTTGGCGTGTGGTTTTCCTGTGTTTTTTTTTTTTTTTTTTTTTTTATATATAAATAAGATCCTTAAAGTGGCCCACGCAGTGGTAACAAATCACAGCACGGCCTTTAAAAGCACAGTGAACTTCCCATCCAGCTGACAGGTTTGTGTCTTCCACCTTACTTCCTGTGCCCATACGTTCTGCTCACCATGATAAATCTACAGCTTCATCTCTGTCTGCTGTGTATATTCTTTTTTTAAATGACATAGCAGCATGTTGTCCGGAGAGGAAACGTAAAGCTGTTGTTAGATTCAGAGTTGCTGCAGTGTGAGTGAACCCAGTCTTGACTCCCAAGCTGCCCATGACTGAACCACAAACCTTCAACAGGATACGTGTCTCATCTATGATAAGGGGGCCTGTGGGTAATGGGGGAGAGAGGACATTTCCTGTATGATGTAATGTTATTAGCCTTGCTGTGATGTGCTGACTCCCACTCCCCACTGCTCCCCAAGTTAAGATTTTGTTATGAAATTGATCCACACTTGGAAAACAAAAAATGACAGTCATGGTAAATACTTGAGCTTTGTTTTATCAGACTCTTTGGGAAAAACGGTGAATTGCACGAAAACTCCCGACCATATACTTGATGTTCTGTCCCTGAGTTTTGTTGTAGTAAATTAACCAGGCAATGCGCCGCACTTGGTAAGTCTTGATTCGTAGTGGATGGACAAGTTCAGGTAAGATCAGGTTTGGGGTTGGTGTGAGTGTAAGTGTGTGCGTGTGTGCGTGTTTGTGTGTAAGAGAGAGAGAGAGAGAGAGTGAATGAGTATGTGTGTGACTGACTGAGGCTGACCTCAGGTGGGTATAATGACTTTTGTTTTGTCGTGGGATTTTGAATTTGTCATGTAATTTCCCCCCCAATTGTCAAGGGACTGAACAGTTGAGTAAATTCATCGAATGCCTAAACTGCTCTGTGTGTGTGTATCAAGTTCTTCATTCACTGATCAGCTATTCACTGAGGGTTTAACTACAATAACTGAAAGTTAGAGGAAGTGGAGAGATAACACACCTGAACCCGGTTCACCAGACACACCTGAAGTTGTCTTTTTGACCTGGTTAGTGACTACATTGAATGGTTCTAGTCTTTTGGTCAGCGGGCTGGTGCTGACCAGCGTCCACTCTCTGACCCTGAGCCGTGCAGGAGCGTCATCGGCGTCTGGTTAGAGTCCTCAGGTGCAGTTGGAGACTTGTTCCGCCGCTGAAAAAAGACTGAAATCATCTTAAACCCGCCGTGGGTTGTTGAAACACGGCCTCCTCTCCTGGATTAAAGTCGACAATTACCTCAGCAAACACACGGCTTTCAGTCTGCCGACCGACCTGCAGTCTTGATTTAATGGGAAAAAACCCGACTCTGCAGAGTCCGGATCTAAATGTGGATTGGTTAAGGTGCAGCTGAAGATATTAATGTGAGGAGTTATTAATCTCAGATCACCACACTAACTGTCCCTTAGTAAATATGAGCCGCATTTGACTTTTTAAATAACCGTCACTCCGCCGTCCGTGAGACCGGCGGAAAAGAAGCTGGAAGTCCCGCACCCGGGGACTCACCGACCCCGCGGAGCCCGAGCCGCTCCGGTGCGCTGCTGAATAAACAGAACTGCACCGCGGCCCGTGTTCTCTCTGTCCCACCGCTGTCAGTCCCTCTCAGCGGCTCAGCTCAGTCCAGTCGTGTAAATAAAACCAAGGGTTTTAGTTTTAAAATACAGCGGCCTGTGAAAAGTTTTCTCTCTCCCACAAACGAAGAGAAACAGCTGAAATCTGAGTCTGGTGTTTGAGAATTAAAGAAAAAAAAATGAAGAAAGGGTCAACTATTTTTGAGGTAGGCTTCCGCAATTATAACAATAATTAATAATGTTATTTTTAAATGTAGCAACTGAAAGTCATTCAAACTTTCAGTTCTTGGATATTTGTGCGCTTAACTTGAAGTGAATTAACAAAGTTAGTAACGAGGAGAACTCACATTGAATCAAAAAGTCCTTTCCTGTTTCGAAGTGTCAAGCCCAAAGAATTAGCAGGTAAGTGATTGTGTGTGTGTGTGTGTGTGTGTGTCGGCCGCGCTGGTCTTCAGCAGGAAAGATCCCGCAGCAGTTGTTGCCTGTCGGACGGGTCGTTTGAGCCTCGCGCAGGCAGGGAGGAAGAGATTTAAAAATAAAGAAACTCGAGCTGCTGCTTCGCTGTCATCCACAGTTTTCACTAAAAATAATTCAAGGACACAACAAAACTGTAAAACTTCACATGCAATTAAAATACAGAGACTCTGAGCTCCACGACCCACAGTCCACACAGTTAAGACACTTTAAATGAGACTTCAAGAATAAGCATGTAGGAATATTTCAAAGTGAATAGGCCATATATATATTTATACTAACGGGTTTTTCGGCCATTCCTATTATTTGAGAGGACTAAAAGTCAGTTTAAACTATCCTACCGTTCAAATCCCTGAAAACTTATTCCACACCGTCTACTCAAGTCTGTAGGCTAATAAACCCAGAGATTTCCCGCCGGTCTGCAGCCAGTAAAAAGTGAAATATTAACTTCATAAATATTTGGTGAAAGTCGGAGCCGCACATGCCAGTCTTGTTAAACTAATAGCCCGCCTTTAACCCGGGTTTGGATGAATTAAATTAATCTAATGTCCTCGCAGCTGCAATAAACATCGAGTGTGTGGTGAAAGCCTGCGCCCGGTTCTGTGTTTATTCCAGGGCCGCGGAGGAGAAAGGTGAGCCCGGACTCCTCACTTATCTCCCCGGTGTTACATCAGCTTGATTATCGGCTAAGCAAACAGCCACGAACCGCAGCGGCTGCCTTCAAAACGCACTGATCGAATTAAGTCGTTAAAAAGTGCCAAAACTTCACACAATGGGAGAGCTGTAATCTACATCTGACAGAGGTGTGTGTGTGTGTGTGTGTGTGTGTGTGTGTGTGTGTGTGTGTGTGTGTGTGTGTGCGTGCGTGTGTGTGTGCGTCCTCGTCAAATTAGAGACCACTAACTAAAAATTCAGTGTTTGCAAGAGGTGTGAATGTGTGTCATTCCAATTAGGCTTTGAAGGAACTTTACTGCAGGCCTGAGGTAGTCACCTTTCATCAGCTCAGTGGAGCCATTAAACTACAATATACAGCCCAGTCATGTCAATAATAATATTTAAAGTTCATGTTGTAAAAATACACTTGAAAATAAAAATGCCAAACCTTTTCCAGCTACTAGAAGTTTAAAGAGAAGGCAAATTTACATTTAAAACTGCCTCTATATTAGGAAAAAATATTCACTATAAATACTATAATGTTCTAACTTATTTGTCATAAATTAAAATACTTTAGTTTGTGATGCTGAAGTTTGATTTCGATGTAAAACTGAAGATATTTGCAGTGTTTCCGGTGACTCTCCTCGGCTGTCTCTTAGGAGGATTTTCCGCTAGTGGGCGCTCTTGCCTTTCGAAAGAACTTGAGCCGCTCTATATTGCACTCAATAGAGACACATGCAGCTCTGTGGCTCTATACCGTCCTGTGTATGAGCCTTATGGGAGCAAACGTTGTCTCGTTGTTTTCATTACGGGCCAACCACACTAACTATAACCCGCCAGAAGCGCGTTTCGTTGTCTGAGGGTTACTGTTGTGTTTTGTAATGTTTTTCATGAAGGGCAAAACTGGTTAGAATTTACATAAAGTCTGTAGTTAAGCTGCTGCCGCCTTTTACAGCTGTTTATCACTGATAGACATTAGTTTTAATTGTAGTGTCATTCACCTTTGTTATCGCTTTTTGTCTTAATATTACTCCTGATTATGGCTGTGGAGGCTAATATCATGTATCACACTTTTATTACGTCATAATTAGACAAAAATGACATTTATTGATGTTATAATCTAATTAATCCATCTGCCGATTAACAAAAGTAGGATTGGGGTGTGTGTGTGTGTGTGTGTGTGTGTGTGTGTGTGTGTGTGTGTCTGTGTGTGTGTGTCGTTCTGCTCACCACTAGTCACCGTACTGAACCAGTTGCCCCCTTTGACTGACAGCAGAGCTCCTATTGACTTTCCCGCCGAGGGACCAATCAGCGGCGGCGAGGGGCGGGGCCTGGGCATAACCAACTCCACCAAATATTCACAGTCGCGGTCCCTTGCAGTTACTTTCCATCCAGGTTTCGGAGCATCGCTGAGGCTTCATCTCTCTGCCTGTCTGCGGGCGTCTGGGACGGATCTGCAGGATTCAGCCGCAGCACTTGTTTTGGGGCCTATAGTATGAGAATTTTCATTCCAGCTCCTTTGATTTCTTTCATTCTCATATTTGATCATTTTCTTAATTTTGACCATCCGACCTCATTGTTTAGCCTCTCTCATTTTTCGGCTGCTGTCATCCACAGTTTGTTGCTCACCACCACCAGCACCAGCTGAAAGGGGAATATCTCACCATTCCACCACCAGCCATCACTGTCCTTTTCTCTGCTGCTGCTGCCGCCGCTGCTCTGGATTTTGGCGTTGGTACTGTCGGACTTTAACGCAGGGGGATTTATATTTGTATTGATTTCCATCTGCCGCCCGGTCCACAGCGGACACCGCCACTTTTTCTCACTGAGGGATGTATCACAGCGGGGTGAAGTCTGCGCTCTGAGCAGGGGAGAATATTAACGCACTGTCTGCTGAATGAACTACTGCCGTGCGCCTTTGGTTTTTGTAGCAGGTCTCTCATCTGGAGATGCTCTGACCGGGGTTTGTGGTCCGTGCGCATCCCACTGGCTCGGGATATAAAGTGAAGAAATCAGCCCTTTGTGGAGAGCTTGTCGTCTAATTTTTTTGACGCACAGATTTGGTTCTTTTGAGACGGATTGTGCACCCGCTCGGAGGCGCGCAGGGTTCACCATGGGGGATTCGATGTGGAGATATTATTTTGGAGTTTTGTTTATTGCCTTCAAAGTGGACTTGTGCCGGGCGCTCATCCTGGAGTCCATCTACTGGAACACAACAAATACCAAGTAAGTGGAACACAAGTCGCGCTGATTAGTACTGGCTCCCGTAGTGCCGTACGCCCTCCGCGTGTGGAGACTGTTTCACACCAGACTCCGTTGAAAAATCAGGCAATTTAATGTTTCTTCTTCGCCGCCGATGGTTTGCGTGCGTAAAATATCAGGAGTTAACACAAGGTAGCTGAGCACACAGTGAGCACAACAAAGAGCTCTCAGAGAAGCGTGGTTTCAAATTTGAATTTATTTTCCTCTGTTACGCTCTCAGTCTTTTTCCACCATGCACAGTGGCGATCTGTTGGACTCGCGTCTGGAAAGTCAGATTTTGTCTAAAGAAACACAGATCGGTTGCTCATCTGTTTCCCGACTTTCCCTGCGAACCTTAATGAGTCGTAAAAATCTAAAATCAATCAACCACCCGCTCCGGAGCTGAACACCACACGTTTTCAACTGAGTTCAGGTTTTTATTTCTGAGAAGTATCGGGCTTTGACCGCACGGGAGAATACACACAAACCGTTCAAGCCATCGCACTCACCCAAAAACACCTGTCAAGATAAAGAGAAACTAGTCGGCTCTTGCGTCATTAGTTTACTGTTTAACTGGTAAATTGACTGTTTGTGTCCTGTCGCCGTGGGGGAATATTTACGCGCAGTGGACGGCGATGGGCCGCTCGGCCGTGCGTTATGATGGCACTCAGCAGCACACAAACCCGCCTCAGAGCAGGCGGCTCGGCGGTTATGTGGGATTCATCTATTATTTGTTGTTATTGGCATATTTCTGCGGAGTTGGTGAAATATGTGTCAGGCTTTGGTTGTGCGCAGGGGGGGTAAAATTAAATTTTGAAGGTAATTTTACGCTTCGCTTCCTCGGTCAATAATAACTTCGGCTCGGCGTATTACTATTCATATTTGTAACAGGTCTGAGTACGTTTTACGGAGCAGACATTTGAGGCTGGGTCGAGCTCATTAGCAGGCCCCTCTGTTCCCCCGCTGCTCTGTTTGCACAGGCTCAAATTTAGGATGTTTTTATCCTCACTGATGAAGATAATATTAAAGAGAGAAACAGAGGAGAAATGAATCCTAGTTGTGCTTCAACATGACGAGGCGGAGGCTTCATGGAGCTGGCGGGACGCTCCACCGGGCCTCTGCCGTGTCCACATTCTGTGGGGGAGACAATAACATAATTCACTAAGTAAATCTGGATTTTTTTAAAAAGCAAATTATACTGGGAAATGGTTAGAGGGATGAAAACTTTTAATAGACCGCCGTGCGCGCCTCCGACCCGCTGCTCTCCAAACCGTTTCCAACCACGTCGTGCTGCTGTCAGACGCCCGAATATAAAGCGTCACAACAGTGGAGCTGGGTGCGTTTGGATGTGGGGGTTTCAGGATGTCCCGGACACGGTGTGTGTGTGTTTTTTCATGAACAGGCTACATTAGCTGTGACCTTCTGCGGGTGATCATCAGGGTGAAAGGAACAAACACAGGCCTTGTACCTTAATTCTCCTTTCCTGCCTTGTTCTTCTATCACATCCACTGATCTGAGATAGGCTAATGCAGACCATCCGTTGGCTTCATGTCCCTGCAGGCCCAGAAAAGGCGGTTAAACTCTTTTCTTCAAAAAAAAAAAAAAAGGTGTCTTTCTCCTCCTCTACACCCCTGGTCGCAGCCCGGCGGGGGGCGCCGCTCTTTGTGGCCGTTTCGTCACGGCCAAACTCCAAGTCACTCAATAATTCAGCTTTTGGCTCCGGTACAGCCAGAAAGCCCCTCTCCTTCTCTGTCTGCTGTTTGTCCTCAGTGGAGGACGTACAATAGAGACGTTATGATGGTCTCACAGGCGTCTCCTGCTTCTAACTGCTGAAAATGAGCAGTAACCTGTGGCGCGCAGAATCATGGGCTTTGTGTTGTGAGTGTCCCTGTATATTTGCTGCGTCGTCTGTCGGACTCAGCTCCAGTTTTCCTCATGCTGCACCTTCGGCCTTCAGCCCCTCCACCGCCACGGCCTTCTGTGCGTCGCCTTTACATCCAGGCTGTGCGCCTAATGACGCACCAGATTACAGCCCGCTTTAGCTCATTTAGAGATAGAGGAGAAAACGCATTTTTACAGGTTAATATCTGTGCACTATATAATATAGTGTAGACCCCCGTCTGTAGCCTGTAGCGCCATTTGATGACCGTTTGACCTCAGTGGAGAGACTGTGACACACAAACACTCAAATGGTTTTAGCAGGAGACATTTGCTTGAGTCTGATGTGCAGAGAGACTTCACAGTAGCAGATCACATCAGAAATAAACCCCGCAGAGATCATATATGTTTGAAGAATGTCCGCACACAGCAGGATACTCAGTCTTTTTCTATATAGGGACCAACAAGTCATTTTGTGCTCCACCTTTCTCATAGACCCGGAGCAGAATCCCTTCTCCATTTTGCATCTGCAGTCTCTGCAAAATTAGTCTGTCATTTCATTTGGCGACTCACTTCTGATTTTGGAAAGAGGGGAAAAAAAACAACAACAACAAAAAAAAACACATCCACCCTCAGAGTCTAAGCTTCAGGCTGCCACAAATGCGTCGGGCATTCCGCAGAATTAGCTGTGCATGTGCGCATTCTTTACGTTCTGTCTGGGTGAGGAGTTCAGAGAGAAAAGGCCACGGAGTGATATCATTGTGTGCTCAGACACCTCCGCCTTTGTGAGCTAAGTTTGTTTTAGCTGCTGAATGAGAACAATAACTTCATCTAATCCTCTGAACATATTTCGATTTCCCTCATTACTCATTACTCACCAAGGAGATGATGATGATGATGATGATGATGATGATAATGATGATGATGAAGAGCAGACAAATTAGTAGAATTTAAAAACTTTGAGACCTCTCATGTTTCACACTCGGGGTTTGTCTAATCAATAAGTTTCCTGTGAGCATCAGCTGAATCAGTGACACACACACTTCTACCCTCCTCAGGCCTGTGTATCACTTATTCCTCCTCGCTCACAGAGAACCTCAAAGTGGGAATATTTATTCAGCAGGTCAGCAATATGCTCAACAGACCCAAGACGCTGCTGCCTCTGCGCCGCTCCTTTAGTTTGTGTTAGTCCTCCTCTTTGAGTATTCAAGGAAGGATGAATGTTGGAAATGTGAAGGCTCGGGGCCAGTCTAATGCCTTTGTGTGTGCGGGCTGGGGGAGAGGATAAAGAAATAGCTAGGCACTCTCTCTCTCTCTCTCTCTCTCTCGCTCTCTCTCTGTGTCTCACTCTGTGTGAGTGTGTGTTCATGAAGTGTGTGTGCATCTGTTAAAAAAAAAAAAAAAAAAGCAGCCCCTCCACGGAGCCTGTGGCCATGTCAATTAAATGTCATTATTGTTTGCGCTTTACTAGTTTACGGCCCTTATGCATGAAACTCCAGAGGAAAAAAAAAAAGAGAATGACCCTTCCACCCCCCACTTACCCCAATCTCCCCAACACACACACATGGACAAGTCAGATCACACCACACACACACCTCCTTCTCCTGGTAATCCATTTTGTAGTTGGGAGGGAGAAACAAAAGAGAGGCCTGCTTTACATGGTTTATGTAAAAGGAGCGCTCCCGCTCCTCCACTGCAGTTCATTAAGAGATTACATAGAAGCCCAAAGGCCCTTTGTGACCGGGCATTGACGGGGGCACCTCTGTGGGTACTTTTGTGAATGTAGGGGGGGGGTTAGAGAGAGAGGGAGGAAGTGGGAGAGAGGGGGTGGGCATAGAGATGCAGGTCCATCATGAATGACTGATGAGGCCTTGTGCTGAATTTTGTAACGATGCCCTCCCTCTTCCTCCGACCATCCCTCCCTCCAAAGTCCCCGCAGTGCTTCTAATTTTGTCGTTTTCTTTTCTTCAGTTCTTTCTGGAGCCGAGAGAGAGAAAGATCAGTTGTTTTAATTTAGCTACATCGACCGGCGACAAGGCTGAGGGAGAAATGGAAGGAGGGAAAGTGAAATATCCTGCCATGTTCGACAGAGAGTTCACACTGCTGGGGTTAGAGAGGTTGATGTGGCTCCTTCCTGATTACTGCCAAGAGAAAAGTTTATGATTAAAATAGTGTAATAAAAGAACAGGGAATGAAAGAATAGGAAAAAAGCGAGAGAAATGAAACAGAGAGGGAGAGAAGAAAGCATCGGGGCCCCTTAGGGTGAGGAGGATAATTATGTCTAGGCCTGCTCAGATCCCATAGGCCTGGATTACAGGATGAAAGGTAGGGCCGAAGGCACGGAGCACAGGCAGAACCAGAGAGAGGACAAAGAGGGGATAGGGTGACAGTCAGCGTAAAGACCTCCGTCCCCTCAGCCGACAGAGGGCGAAAGCCGGGGCGCTGCCAAGAATTGTGGGTGGATTAACCCTTACTATGCCCCAGCTTGGCCTTTTTGTCTGCCACCATAATGAATCCTTGCATTGCAGCTGGGATTCAGAGTCAAACAGTTGCTCTTGATCTGCAGTAAATATTCACCCTCCCCTCACTTCACTCTGTTTTCTCATAACTTCAGGGCCACAGGGAGAGAATGGAGGGGGGGGGTTCGGACAGGAGGATTACACCGGGGCGGCCACTGTGGCTCTGTTTTGTCCCCCACACACACAAATCCAACAATCCAGAGGTTTAAACACAAAGTCTGAGAGAGAGAAGAGGGAGAGGAATGAAGGGTCATATAGAGATATGCAGTGACAGGAGGAGAAACACAGAGAGAGAGAGAGAGAGAGAGAGAGAGAGAGAGAGAGAGAGAGAGAGAAAAGGCAGTGAAGGACAGGGTATCTAACTTTCTTTTTTTACTGGTGACAGATGCAGTCATTATAACTCCAGGAAGTAGGTCCACAGTCCTCCTCCTCCTTTTCCCCTTCCTTCTCCTTTTTTTTTTTACTTTGCTCTGTTTGCCCCAAACATTTCCTTTCTCCTCCCCAAACCCCTCCACACACACACACACACACACACCCACACCCACACACACACACACACACCTAAACTAAAAAAAGACACAAGACCTA